ACAGTGAGTGTACCATATTTGTTCAGTCCATATGTTGTCATTTAACATGAGAGGCGTGGCAACATCCAAAAGAGGGAATATGCAAAAGAGGTGCATCTTAATACAAAAAGAAAATAAAAACATTTTGAATAAAATGAGAGAACATTTTTTTTAATTAATAATAATTATAATAACAATAAAAAACGGTCGTATTCTCTTGAACCACAAAACCTTCCAGATATATCAAAGTTGACAGTGAGGAAATACATTGTCATATTTTTAGTCAATATGTTCTCTTTTGACATGAGGAGTTTAGTCACATCCAAAGAGTATAATATAGAAATAGCGTATAAGAGAAAATAAAATAAAAATAAATACATTTTTCTAAAGGCTAGGGAGTTCTTCAAAGTATTTAATAAAGGGGAACCATTTGTTCAATTCAATTCAATTCAGCTTTATTTGTATAGCGCTTTTACAATGTAGATTGTGTCAAAGCAGCTTCACATAAATGGTCATAGTAACTGGAACAGTGTAGTTCAGTAACTGGAACAGTGTGGTTCAGGTTTTAGTGTTTAAGTTCAGTTCAGTTCAGTTTAGCTCAGTTCAGTGTGATTTAATCATTACTGAGAGTTCAAACACTGAAGAGCCAATTCATCGATGCGTAGCTCTACCAATCCTGAACCATGCGAGGCAGTGGCGACAGCGGAGAGGGAAAAAAACTACACCTGATGGGAGTGAAGAAAAAAAACCTTGAGAGAACCAGACTCAGTTGGGCACGACCATTTTAATTCCTCTAGGAACTTGCGCTTCAATCCTCGAATCATGTATTTAATTTTTCCAATTGAATGTAAGACATCACTTCCTTTATCCAGCCATGCAGCATGCGTTGGGGAGTCTACTCTTTTCAACTTGAGTAATATTAAATGTCTTGCTAGTAGTGTAGTGAAGGCAATAACTGAAAGTATGTCTTTACTGAGATCAATATTCTCAGGCACGACACCAAAAATGCCCATCAATGGATCTGGGTCTATAGGAATGCTATATATCTGTTCGTATATTTCAAAAATCCCCTTCCAAAACTCTTCTAAAAATATTTATAATAATATAAATAAACAAACAAACAAATATATAAATAAATGTTGTTTGTTTATTTATTTAGTTATTTTGCCAGTAAAATATTTACATTGTTTGCGTAATGTCCCAAATTAACTTAAAATAAAGGTTGATAAACTATAGAAACACACACAAAAAAATGTAAAAACTAATAAAGCAGCTCGACTCAATTACAAAATAAAAAGAGAAATTATTCACTGACTTTATTCAATATTTATTTCATTAAATTTTAGGGTCACACTTTATTTTGATGGTCTGTTTGTTGAATTCACGTTACATTGCATCTACATGCCAACTAATGCTCATTAGATTATAAGTAGACTGTTAAGTTGAGGTTGGGGTTAGTGTAAGTTTACATGTACTTGCATTGTTTCTTATAGTCAGTGAAATGTGTGTTGAAGGAGCAGTATCAGCAGATATTACGCAGACAGTCTACTAATACTCAAATGGACCATCAGAATAAAGTGGTACCAATTTTAGTTATTCAACTAAATTGATCTGGAAAATGGCTTCACCCATTATTTAAACGGATACTTTAAATGGGATTTTTAAAGTGAAAATTGCATGCATACACACAATAAATATTGGCTTTAACACAATATCTCTCAGAAATAAAGGTACGCGAGCTGTCACTGGGGTAGCACTTTTTAAAAGGTACAAATTTGTACCTAAAAGATCCATATTAATACCTCAAGAGTACACATTAGTACCTAAAAAGTACAAAAGTGTTTCTCCTAAAAGTTGTAGGTATACTTCTGAGGTACCAATATGGACCCTTCAAGTGCAAATGTGTACCTTTTGAAAAGGAACCACCCCAGTACCTTTATTTCTGAGAGTGTATATACCAAGGGTGTCCAAACTCGGTCCTGGAGGGCCGGTATCCTGCATAGTTTAGCTCCAACTTGCTTCAACACACCTGCCAGGAAGTTTCTGGTATATCTAGTAAGGGCTTAATTAGCTTGTTCGGGTGTGTTTGATTAGGGTTGGAGCTAAACTCTCCAGGACCCTGGCCCTCCAGGACCAAGTTTGGGCATCCCTGGTATACACACAGCTTAGTGCTCATAGACTAAAATCAGACTTTATGAAATAAGGATGTTTGGGTATGAAATGACAAGTATTTTGAGAAATAATCCAGTAATAATACTATACTATATTATACTATATTTATGTAATTAGTTTGATCATGTTTTACTTTATTGAGTGATCTTCTATAAACATCTACTGTATAAAGATCCCATTCCCAGGGGTCACTTTAATTCAAAAAGTACCAGAGATTTTCTCCAAAACTGCAAACCTGAGTTATTATAGTGAATTAAAGGTAATTGTTTACTTAAAATTTTAAACAATCAATTTTATTTGAGCAAGTTGACAAAATTTAATTTCTACTTTTAGTTTAAAAATGAAATGACATGAATTTAATGTAAATAAAAATCAATTATCATCATCACAACTGCAAACCCGGGTTATTATGGTGAACTTTACAAATATATCTATGAGCAATTCCATGCAAACGTCAAGCCTGCTGTTAAAAACAATTACGTTTCAGCCAAAATAGCGATACCATTTCTGCAGGGGTTTTTTTTTGTGCAAGCAAGTATTTTACAGTGCCTTAAAATACTCAAAAATGTCTCTGTCAATGTTTTCAAACTATTATATTTGATTTGCCAAAGTCACACAAGTTTCAATTTCACTACTGTCACATCCATAACCAAGCTTTTCTCTCACAAATACAACAATAACATACAACCAATCGTTTCTGTTCTATAGAGAGCCAACTTTTATCCTGTTGATGAGCATAGTTTCTTTTCGGCTGTGCAGTTTAATTCTGAGAATTTCGACAAAGTAAACGAATTTAAACTCAGTCAACATACTTTGTAGTATGATATGTTCCTTAGACACGTATATTTGCAGCGTGTCGCGCACACTGTAATCCAACATGTGAGTCCAGCTGCGCTCTCATAGCAGGAAATGAAAACAAAACCTTCACTGCAGCACATTTATAAACACAACACTGACCACTTGTTTTGGCAACACAACATGTCGTCTCTCTGCCGTCTGACCACTGTAACAGGTGAAAGCAGACTTCGAAGCTATTATGCATATTAATGAAGTTGCACCGCATACACAATAGAGCGCGCTGATTGGTTTGAACCAAGTCTTCCTCATGAATTAATGCAGCACATTTAGAGACATCACAAGGTACTCCCAGGTACAGACGTCCAGTCTACACGCTGGAATACACACAAGTATCTAATCGGCATGACGAAGCTTCAAAAATTTGTTTCAAACTTAAAGAACGAATTTGCTTGAAATAACGCAAAAACAACCAATTTTCACTTTTTAGTGAAATATATGCGTCCTAATAGTGTTTATAGCAGTGTGGGACACATACGACTGTCAACAGCTCAACACGTGTGTTCTGGGGCCTCATGTATCAACATTTGCACACACAAAAACTTTGCGTACGCCCGGTTTCACGCTCAGAATCGCTCACGTTTGGATTTACTAACAATGAACTGAACGTGGGAATGTGCGCAGCTTCACTGCAGCTTTCTGGCTGGTGTACACACATTTTTTGTGCGTGTCTGTTTTATTTCCATTGGCGACTCCTAGAGGCAGTTGTGTTAAATTCCTCTCTACAAAGTGTCTGAGCCTTGCAATGGCAGCTGTATGAGACGGGTTCATATAGTAGGTATATAAGGTTTCCATACCATACAGTTGACCAGCCAAACATTAAAGCACAATTTGCAGCGGTCGCCTGTTTTCCCAATGTAATCTGAGCGATCTACTGCACACACATTGCTATAAAGACACTATCTGAAGATGAATTTGCATGCGTGAATCAGAAACATTTCCATTCAATAAATGTGCAAATAAAATATGATGCACAAACTTATTAATGATTTCTACTTGTCTTTCTTGTGATAAATAGTGGGCAAAATCTGATATGTAGCGGGGGAATAAAGAAAAAAAAGAGTATAAAAAAGTATACTAAAGATTATTAGTTTATGAGACGATGGATTCGAACCAAGTTTATGCTCAATTGAGTTAAATCATGTTGACTTGGGTTTCACGAGCTGCGCCACTCAGACTTTTAATCCACACAGTGCGATGTTCAGACTTAACTGTGTTAACCACATCAGCTAAACTCTCCCACTCTATTTTTTTTTTTTTTTGTTTGTTAATTCCGGAGGACAAACTTGCAAATAACACCGTTTTTCTCCGGTCTACCTCTGCTTGGGTTTGCCATTGCTTTTTCGTTGGGTTTTGCCAAAGTAGAGTCATTAGCATATTCATACGGGGGAGGAGGCAGGGAGGGGTTTTGCACTCGTGCATGTTGCGCTCAGTTTCACATTCATTCAGATGTACAAAAGAATATGCGTGAGATTCGGCGTACGCAGTGTTTCATACATCTGAATTTTTTTCTGCGTACGTACATTTACAGCTTTGTGCGAACCAATGTTTTAGTATGATTTCCACGCAAGTCTTCGTACATGAGGCCCCTGGTGTTTCCTGACCCTTTAAGTTATTTTTTTCAGTGTAGAGCAGGGGTCACCAATCTTGTTCCTGGAGGTCCGGTGCCCTGCAGGGTTTAGCTCCAACTTGCCTCAACACACCTGCCTGGGTGTTTCAAGTACACCCAGTGAGAGCTTGATGAGCTTGTTCAGGTGTATTTGATTAGAGTTAGCGCTAAAATCTGCAGGACACCGGCCCTCCAGGAACAAGTTTGGTGACCCCTGGTGTAGGCCATGTTAATTTGAAGAGTTCCAGAGTATTTCTCCAAATATAACGGCGTGTTTGTCAACAGCATCATATTTGTTGGTGTTTGTAATATCGGATGTCTTTCACGAACACTAATAAGCAGACAAATCAATAGACTAATGTAGTTTCTGTGCTCTTTTCTGCAGTAAAGCTGTGACAAACAGACTAAGATGCATCTGACCTGCTGATGAGGTCATCAGAAGACTCGATGATGTCACTTCCCATGGAGCAGAACAGGAAGACGCCCTCGTTAATGAAGACATCGTTCCACTCAAACGCTGAAGGAGAAAAAAAAACAGCATTAATTTCTGCGTTTGCCACTGTGTTTTTATTTATACTGACTTCCACTGGAGAAACAAAACAGATTAGCAGATAACAGCTGAATAAGTTCACATTCACACACTCACACACACAATCAAATCTCTGCACCAATACTGTAATGACCCTCAGAATCTCTTCATTCGCCTGATTTAATAATTAAAAGCAAAGTTTGCAATTAAACAACAGCTTTGTAGAATTTAAACCTGTATGTTCTTGAGTATCACTGAACGTGTGGTGATTATTAATAAAGCACACAATATCTTACATGTATGTGGTGCGAGTATGACTCATGTTGTGCGATGATAAAAATCTTCATGTTTTAAATGCAAAATACAGTACGAGTTGGTTGTGCATCTTGCTTCACAATGGCATTCCTCTTTTCTTATTATGCTGCATGTATAGTTCAATAACATAGACCACAGGTGTCAAACTCAGTTCCTGGAGGGCCGCAGCTCTGCACAGTTTAGTTCCAACCCTAATTAAACACACCTGATCAAACTAATTGAGTCCTTCAGGCTTGTTTGAAATCTACAGGTGAGTGTGTTGGAGCAGGGTTGGAATTAAACTGTGCAGGGCTTCGGCCCTCCAGGAATTAGGTTTGACACCCCTGACATAGACATACGCTTACCGGCCACTTTATTAGGTACACCTTACTTGTATCTTTTGCCTTCAGAACTGCCTTTACCCTTCGTGGCATAGATTCAACCCGGTACTGGAATTATCCCTCAGAGATTTTGCGCCATATTGACAGGATAGCACTATTTATGCTCTATTGGATTTAGCTCTGGTGACTAGGGAGGCCATTTGAGTACAGTGAACTCATTGTCATGTTCAAGAAACCAGTCTGAGATGATTCACGCTTTATGACATGGTGCGTTATCCTGCTGGAAGAAGCCATCAGAAGATGGAGACACTGTGATCATAAAGGGATGGACATGGTCAGCAACAATACTCAGGTAGGCTGTGGCATTAACACCATGCTCAGTTGGTACTAATGGATCCAAAGTGTGCCAAGAAAATCTCCCCCACACCATTACACCACCACCACCAGCCTGAACCGCTGATACAAGGCAGGATGATTCATGCTTTCATTTTTGTTGACGCCAAATTCTGAGCCGAGCATCCGAATGTGTCAGCAGAAATGGAGACTCATCAGAGCAGCAACGTTTCTCCAATCTTCTATTGTCCAGTTTTGGTGAGTCTGTGTGAATTGTAGCCTCAGTTTCCTGTTCTTAGCTGACAGGAGCGGCACCCGGTGTGCTCTTCTGCTGCTGTAGCCCATCCGCCTCAAGGTTGGACGTGTTGTGTGTTCAGAGATGCTCTTCTGCAGACCTCGGTTGTAGCGAGTGCTTATTTGAGTTACTTTTGCCTTTCTATCAGCTGGAACCAGTCTGGCCATTCTCCTCTGACCTCTGGCATCAACAAGGCATTTGCGTCCACAGAACTGCCGCTCACTGGATAATTGCTCTTTGTCAGACCATTCTCTGTAAACCTTAGAGATGGTTGTGCTTGAAAAACCCAGTAGATCAGCAGTTTCTGAAATACTAACAACCATGCCACGTTCAAAGTCACTTAAATCCCCTTTCTCCCCCATTCTGATGCTCGCTTTGAACTGCAGCAGATCGTCTTGACCATGATGCCTAAACGCATTGAGTTGCTGTCATGTAATTGGCTGATTGAATATTTATGTTAATGAGCAGTTGGACAGGTGTACCTAATAAAGAAGCCAGTGAGTGCATATCCTATGCAGAAATACCTCTATAAATATATATTTTTATTTTTACTTACAAATTATAATTTGGTACCCCTATACCCAGTCAGATCACTACAACGTGTATGATACATGTTGTTATGTAAAGAGCAATTACTTTACATGTATACATATCAGGGAAATGTGTTGTTTGTGCATTTAGCTTTACAATTAAATTTCTCTTTCTTTAATATTCTGCATGCAGTACAGTGATATATAGACATTTTACTACACACCTTATAATAATGTTTAATTAGTTAATGTATTTACTAACATGAACTAATCATATGAACCATAATTCAACCTTTACTGATGGATTATTAAAATTAAAATTCATCCTTGTTAACATTAGTTAATGCACTGAGTTATTAGGAACACCTTCGTTTCATTCACTAACTCTAACAAGCATGAATAAATACTGTAATAAATGTATAGTTCATTGTTTTTTGAAGTTAGTAATAAATAAATGAACTAACATTTTCTTAAACAAGCTTATTAAAGTGTTGATGACAAAAGTCTGATTATATAGTCTAAATACATTTTTATTGGAAAATATGTATTACAATAGAGCAATCAAACATATATATATATATATATATATATATATATATATATATATATATATATATATATATATATATATATATATATATATATATATATATATATACAGCCTTTTATCTATAAAATGAAAACTGGTATATTATGGGATGTGCGCGAGTGTGTTAATCCTAATTTATTTTATTATCATTTATTTTAATTTGATATAGATAAATTTAGAAAATAAAGTTTTTTGAAAACTTTTAGTAAATTTATCTTGATTTAAACATGACTGATAAGAGTTTTACTCATAAACACAAATTGTTACACTTTAAAATTTGTTATCATTTTAGCATAAAGTAATTTACACTTTTATTTTGAAAAATCACAAATAATAATAAATAAATATAAAAATAATATAAAAATATAAAAAATAAATAAATAGTATACCAAAAAACACAAAATGTTACACGAATTACTAAAAGCTGGGATTGTGAAACTTGAATGTATTAATAATAATAATAATAATAATAATAATACAAATAAAATAACAATAATTAGTAGGAGTAGCTGTCGTAGTAAAATAGTTGTTTTTATGTTGTAACTATTAATTGGTTTTCATATTTGTTGTCGAGTTACAAAAACATTTTGATAAAAATAAAACATTACAGATCTATGTATATAACTAAAATACTGTTCATTAGACTGACAAGACTTCCTCAAAAACAAAATGTTACACTTTACACTCCATTTTAGCAGCTGTCTTCTGGATATGATCTGGGGGGGGGGGGGGGATAATCATTATATTGATCTTTAAATGATAAATGAATAAAAGTCGAACAGGATATATTTTATTGAAGGGGGAAAAACTGCTTTAGACTTTTATTTTGAAAAATCATGTTTAGTTTAAAATACCAACAAACACAAATGTTTTACTCATTATTAAAATCGAGAATTATGAACTTTCTGACTTTAATGCGAAGTCCCTGACAAATGCCGTTTATTAACAACACAATTAAATCACTTTATGGTTGCTTTGAGATAATATTCTCATTTAAAAAATAATTTGTGTGTCGACTCACCATTTCTCCATCCTCGAATGTCGCGCACGTGTTCACACAACTGTACAGGAGTTACTAGTGTTCATATTTGGGCGACTTCTCGAGTGTTTCTGGACATTAAATGGCTTTTACTTTCTCCAAACTAAGAAGAAAAACGAATGTAAGTGAAGACGTATTTTTACGAACCATCACAATGTGCCGTTGAACTTGAAATAAATATGAGAGAACGCGTGACCTCTTCGGCTTCCGTAGCGCATGCGTCCAAAATGTGACCCGCACAGTAATGTAAAAATAGTAATTATACCGTGTATTACTCATATTTTGTCACTGAACTGTTCGTTATTTGTACTTTACTAATGTCTTCCCGATATCCAAACCCTTATAGTAATGTAAAAGCGCTCATTGTTGTAATAATATAAACAAGTATCGTTAACTTCCGGCCGCAGGTGTATCCCTTCTAGAATTTAGAGTTATTAATTACATTAATATGTCGATCTGAAATATGATGAAACGAACATGTTTTTGTAAATGCATTACTGTCAACGTTCTATTTATTACTATATTCATCTATGAACAGGGTACATTTTGTTGTGCAGGCATTTTGTTTTATTTACATTAGATTATTTGCGACCCCATAGGAAAATTATAGAAGTTATATAAGGATTAAACTAAAAATATATATACATTCGTTTTTTTTATATTGACAATATTTGATGTTCACATGATTTGATGTTCACCTCTGGCCCTTTAAAATGTATTAACAATGAATAGGCCTATTTACCTTCCGTCTGGACACGCCCCTTTTTTCACATCCTCCAGTCAGCTGCTTACAAAACTGCGACATTAACAAACTATTATAGTTTCATCTATCTATCTATCTATCTATCTATCTATCTATCTATCTATCTATCTATCTATCTATCTATCTATCTATCTATCTATCTATCTATCTATCTATCTATCTATCTATCTATCTATCTATTTGTCTGTCTGTGTGTCTGTCTGTCTGTGTCACAGGTGTAGTAACACCAGCATCAGATTTGTCCGCAGTGGCTGCTCTTCTTATTATTATTCATGAGCTATTTGACTACATGCAAATACACCGGCACAGCAGTACCTATGGCAACCAGCGGTGACCCCCGCCATCAGTCCCGTGCGTGCGTGCATGCGTGTGTGTGTGTGTGTGTGTGTGTGTGTGTGTGTGTGTGTTTGTGTTTACTTAAATAAATAAATGCATAAATAAATGCATATTCTTGTGCCATTTTATTATTAGTAATAATTTATTTATTATTATTTATAGAAGTAATTATTATTATTAGCAGTAGCAAATATTTTTATCAGTAGTAATGTTTTTTTTTATTAGTAGTAGTAATTATTATTATTATTATTATTATTATTATTATTATTACAAGGAGTAGCTGTGGTAGTACATATTTTTATTAGCAGTAATAATTAATATTACTAGTAGTAGTGGTAGTGATTATTATTATTATCATTATTATTATCATTATTATTAATAATTAGGAGTAGCTGTGGTAGTAATTTTTATTTAATTTTATTAATAATAAGAAATATATTTTGTATTATTTTATTATAAGTAATAAATTATTAATTATTTTTTATTAGTAGCAATTATTATTATCATTATTATTAATAGGAGTAGCTGTGGTAGTAAATATTTATATTAATAGTAATTATTTATTTTTACTATTGTATTATTAGCAATAATTTATTAGTAGTAGTAGTAGCGGTAGTAGTAATAATAATTAGTATTAATATTAATAATAATAATAATAATTACTAGGAGTAGCTGTGGTAGTAAATATTTTTATTAGTAGTAATAATTAATTCATATTTTATTAGTAGTGATAATTCATTTATTATTATTAGTAGTAGTAGTAGTAGTAATTATAATAATAATAATAATTATTATTATTATTATCAATAATGATAATTAGTAGGAGTAGCTGTGGTCGTATTAATTTTTTTTAATTTTAGTA